GGGGGGGGGGGGAGAGAGAGAGAAAAAGAAGGAAGAAAGAAAGAAAGACGGATCTTAATTAAAACTGAAGTTAAACACTGTTAATAATCTGTTGAAATTAGTAGTACGAGTTACGAGCTGGCAATTAGCGATATACCCCCGTGTAAACGAAAGAAAAATACGCTCCCCCGGATAATCCTTTAATAGGAACGATAACTCTCGACCCTCGTCCTGAGAGAGAGATCGCTATCGACGAAAATTTATGTACTGCGCTTCTTTCATCGGAATTCCTTCTTCTTGCCAAGTTCTTCTCTTCTTTTCTTCGAGGCCTTCTTCGAAAGGAAAAAGAAAAGAAAAAAAAACAATGCCGACGCGAGAGGAGAAAAACGCGTGGACGTCTGTCTCGTTGATCTCTCGATCTCTCATCGATCTCTCACCGTCCAAGATCCGATTTTAATTGGCCGGAATGGGATCTTTCTCTGCTCGAAGGAGGAGGAGGAGGGGGAGGACAAAAACGGGCCGCGGAATATCGCGTCGTACCACTGAAACTTATATCGATCCGCCGACCGTGCCCGTGGAGCGTTTCCAGTAGCGTATCAAGCTTGGCGGCGCAAAATTCAACTTCGATTTACGAAAATTTCCCGTTTCAGGATCACGAATTGTATCTCCAATTTTTCCATTGGGATTCGAAAGATGGTGAACACGCAAGATAAATTCTTAAATTAAAGGAGAAGGATTTTGAGAATGATTTTTTGAGAGAATGTTTAAAGAAGAAGGTGGAGTCTTTTTCTTCGAGTTTTGAAATATACATAACCAGTCCTGAAACTGGAATATTTTAATATTTTTCCTAATTATAGTAATTATTGTAAACAGAATTCGCTGTTAGCTTTGATAACTTATTACGAATACTTTTAAAATTATACACTGAGATGCATCAAAGAGGACAATCAGAAGACGTCTGAGATCAAACCTGCGTTCCAGGTTTCGCGTCCAAGAGTTGAAGCCGCTCGAATGCTCGAATTTCGAAAGAGCAGATGCATCCACCACGAATTCCCAATTTTACTTTTTCCTCGTCCCAAAAAAAAAAGGGGGGGGGATGGAAAAGCAGCAATTAGAGAGTCCTTTCTTATTTCTAATCCTGGAGGAGGAGGAGGAGGATCGAGCGGGGCGTGGATTAACTCGTGGAATTAGTTTAACGACTTAAAGTAGTCCCGAGTTTCGGCCGTCTCTTCCCTCGAATCTCGCGTCTCCCGGCCAATTCTCTTAGATAATCCGTACAGATAATGGAGACGAGTCGTTCTCGGTGTCTGTGACGCGATTGAAACGCGAGGATAACTCCTCGAATCTCTCCCGTGAGTTCCACCCTGTTTCGAACGACCAGAGGAACACGCGAAGAGGGATGCAAAGGAACGGATCCAGTGACAAATGGGAGGCATCGACATCGACCGACGAAAATTGAACGTCCTCCACCAAACGATGACGGAGGAGAATGAATCCTTCCGTATCTTTTCTCATGATTCGCATTGATCATCCCCCATGGATGGGCGAAAAATTTAAATATAATAGTTACTTCGATAATTTATCCTTTCTCGAGACATAATAATAATAATAATAATAATAATTCGCAGATAAAATGACGGAGATTTACATGAAAAGCGGATCAATTAAAATAATTACGAATAAATTATTATTATTTTAATAACAGTAATCGTTCAAAGTAATTGTTGACAGTGAAAAGAATAAATAAAAATGTAATGGCTTTAGCTGAACGAATATATTTAATTATGTGTATTATCGAAGAAAAACAAACAGATACCAACTATGAAATAGTGATGTTGCTGGCAACATTCAATGATAAAAAACACATATAAAATTTCAATGAACTTTAAATTTTATAACAGTAATTTTATTTTTCTATCATTTCCAACGCCCAACAATGGTTCAAGAATCGAGGAGATAGAAAAAAAAAAAGATCGATCGAGAGAAACACTAGTTCTTCCGGGTTAATAGTTTCGACATAGCTCCCATCCAAAGGTACCTTTCTCGTCCCACTTGCAAGCTTCGTTAATTACTTACTCCGTCGAATCGGTAAGCGAAACGAGTCTTCGAGGAACAAAGGTCCGGGCTTGGTGGATTCGAAGCAGGAGACGCGGTGCGTTTAGAACGTCAGCCTTTCGTGGCTCGCTCGCCGCGGAATTATAATCGACCGGCGGACGCATTGTTCTCCCCCCTCCCTGGGGGGAGAGGGGAAGCCTCGGGTCGCATCGACTTCCGCTCGGTCTCCGAGCAATTTTGCACGGTTAATCCCCCTCCTCCCCCCTCACGAATTAGCCGGCGGCCCGCTGCTAATTCTCGGTGTATCGAGCCGTGCTTATGCGAATTAGATAGCCCTCCCTATACAGGGATTCGCCTCCCTATATAATCCACCGAGCGTAACCCTCGTGGACACGCGCGCATCNCCTCCTCGCTGGATTTATGAAACGAGGTCGTCGTATCTCACGAGAAGACGGGCAAGGGGAGGAGGAGAGGGTCGAAGATGCGGTTTCACGCGCGGATATCATGGAGCCTGGCAACTATTTATTGCCAATGACGAAGGCCTCCGCCTTGTTGCGCGCCACCTCCTGGAGGAATTATTACCACCACGCTTGCAATTAGTGGTAATGATATCGAAGTGGCCTCCTGTGTCCCGGATAATAATCTCCACCCCATCTCGATGGGGAACGACGATCGTTTGATGATTTCGATGATCAAGAATTCGAATTCTTTACGGGATGGAGCGAAGTTACGTCGTTGAAGAAAGAATGGAAGGAAAGAAGAAAAGAAAGGGAATATGTTTATGTATGTATGTATATATATATATAAAATTCGAGAATGAGCGGAGTCGTGGCTCGAAAGATCCTTCAACTAGAGGAGAGTAGGTTCTCTAGGTAACCTGATTACAAGGATGAAGGAAAGTTTATCCGATGCTGGAGTTTCGTAGCAAACAAAGCCCCCGCGACGATCAAGGGGTCCCGGTTTAATGCTAAACGCTGCAAATCCGCTTGCACGTGTCTTCAAAGCGGATTACAACCGGAATCAAGAGCGCGAAACTATTCTGCGGTGTTTCTATTCTCGATGACGTTTGCCGTTTTTGGTAATCGGTCGAAAGTGACGAAGCTGCCATTCCCTGCCACTTTCATCCCCTTCCCCCGATAATAATCCGTCGTGATCATCTCCGCTTTCCTAATATTATTCCTCGCCACCACTTTGTTGCCGCTCCTTTCAATACTTTCTTCGCTCGCTCTTAATATTTAGGGAATAATGTTGTGAAACGTTGTTGGCCAAAAGTAGCAGTAAGCAAAAGAGTGTATTTAATAAAGGAAATAGGAATAAAGTGTGTTGTACAGTGGAAAGAAAAACATTTCGATTCACGCATAAATATATTATCAAGATAATGAAATGAACATTTGGACATCGATGAACTGAAATTTATCCTTTCGTAATAATTTATTCCACTTTTACACACGATGTAATAACATTCTCCAAGTGTCACTTTCTTTTTTCCTTTTACGGATCCGCGTGGAAGAAATACAAAAGATTACTTGGTAACAAGTAAGGCCTTGGCGTTAATATTTCATTTACGATAAAAAGCCGCACCTTTGTTTCGAGAGGGGGGTTGCACGTGCGCAACCCCAATTCCCAGCAGCGTTCATTCATCCTCGAGGCTATCCGCTCGAAATCACCTCGCACCTGCCGCCTCGCCTCATATTAGAGATTCAAACGCGATTCTCCGCGCGATTTTTCAATATCATACCACGACTCTGCACCATAGAATCCAATTCGTTGCAATGTTCATCGAATCGTCCACGAGAGATCTTTCACGCTCGTGTATAATAATAATATTCGTATTGTTGAAGAAGAATCGAAGGAAAAAAGGAAAGAGAAAACGGAATTGAAAAATCGAGTCGAATTACAAAGCGACGATTATCGAGAAAATGAGGATTGAAGGAGGGGAGAGGAGGGTAGGGTAATCGACGAAGGGGTTAATATAATATAAGGTTGGAGGGGGGTGGAAAATAGCGCAACAAGTCGTGCAATTGCAAGCACCCGACAGCAGCACCCGCGCGTATTGTATCCCGCCGAGTTTATTCCTCCACAGTTGTGTGTTTCCTTTTGTGTGTGTGTGTGTAGCACTCCGCGCGCATTTCCTTGTTTATCACCGAGGATTTTCTTATCTCTTATCTCCGATACCCGTTGAAACTTTGCCTCCCCTCTCCATCCAGTATCCTCTGGATGTTCGAATCGAAGTTTATTCTTAACGAGAATAAAAAAGAAAAAGGAAAGAAAAAACAGGAGAAGGAGAAGGAGGAGGAGGAAAGAGAAGAGAAATATTTTTGTCACGAGTAGTTTCGTCGTAGCGAGATCGATTGGAAGATAAGGAAGAAATAGGTAGGTAGGTAGGTAGGTAGGAAAGGAAACGTGGTTGTGCGTGATTAATTAATGAAAGGGGCGCGCGAATTTCATATTGGAAGGGGGGAGGGGGCCCTAACGAGGGCGGGTAAAAAGGGGACATAAATCAGGATGGACATTAATTTTGTTTTCAGCGCCGATGGCAACTACGAGGTGACCATTATGACCAAGGCAATTTTGCACCATACGGGGAAGGTCGTGTGGAAACCGCCGGCCATCTATAAATCATTTTGCGAGATCGACGTGGAGTACTTCCCCTTTGACGAGCAGACTTGCTTCATGAAGTTTGGTTCGTGGACTTACGACGGGTACACGGTGAGCAATAATAATAATAATAATAGTAATAATAACAATAATAGTAATAATAATAATAATAATAATAATAAGATTCTCTCGACTCGACATTCTCGTTTTTACCATTGATCGATCGATCGTTCCGTAACACGAAAAACATCGTATCCAACGATGGAGAAAATTTAATAAGTCGAAGTTACGAATAAAGTTACTTGGACGATTTATTGTTGGAAGTATAATGATAATAATAATCGGATATAATTGTAACGGCCGAGGTTGAAAAGCGGATCGAATAAATGTTGTTCGTGAGCATTTTAACGAGCAATTACTTAAAGTAACTTTATTCCAGATTTTTAACTAGTTACTTTCTCAATTGTGAGTTAATTGACCCAACTCTCCACGATATCCGCACGCTCTTTTATTAATCCTTAAAATTTTCGAAATTATTTCTCCATCGAGTTTTCATACTTTTATGTATACACCCTTGATACGCTCCTTCCTTTTATTTCCTCTCGTCCCCTTCCTTTCCATTTTCGAGATTTTTACCCGTCACGGTCAACTGTGACAAAAATCGTGTCCCATCTCTGGAGACGTAACTGGAGATTTTTCTCTTTCTGCCGATCGTTTCCGCCCCCCCATCGAAAGCATTCCACGAACGGGCGTTGTTATCGGATGGTGGCCGTCGTCGCGTAAAACTTTATGCTAAATAAAACCACGGGATTCCGCGGGATCAATGGAAAGCCAGTGGCTGGAAAACTAGTAAAAAATTCCATAACAGCCAGTTGGCCGGGGGGGTAATTTGGCAGGATGTCGCCGCGGTTTTACGCGGCCATTCGATCGGCCAATTTCTTGGGGAATATCGTTCGGGGAATCGATGTGGAATTTCATTCGTTCGATAAAAAAATTGGATTTCGATCCGAAGTGTATTTCTTTCCGGCGAATCGAAGGATGGAAGTAAGATGGAAAAAAGAAAAGGAAAAGGAAGCAAAGAAAAGCAAGATTACGCTTCCTAGAAAAAATATTTCCTGTCGAAAATATCGTACAGCGTTGTGCGAGTAAAAAGAATGTGCAAAAATCGAGGAACGAGAGATTGGTTTAAAGGTAATCCATTTGGAATAACATGGGCGTTCTCGGGATTTATTTGCAGATGATGATAGGGAATGGGATAGAAATGCGGGGAAATTGTTAAGATGTTCTTCCCTAAAGAAGGGAAGGTTGGAAAAGTAAAGAAATGTAAGAACTGTCGGTCGGACATGGGGGATTGGCTCGGTGAACCGCGTTACAATGCAAGATATTCGAACAGGAAGAAACGCATCAACGGAACGTCGACCGAGCTCTCTTTTCGGAACTCTACTTTCCCGTGTTATACATTTACTTCCATCTCGTATCCGATTTATTACATTTACATATATTTCAATCCACGTATACATTTTCCATCTCCTTTTTCTCTAAAGCGGTTCCATCGATAAATCCAAAAATATTATCGTTTATAATCTCTCGTCGAGGAGAAAGAGGAGGAGGTTGGATGAAAATATCGAGAGAGATCCGACGATTAATTCGATCACAATCGAAAAACGAACCGATTGGTTTCGAATGGCAATTTGGCAAGAGTTTCAAATTTCTTTTCGAATTTTCGAAGAGCACCCGTTAAAGGCACGATCGTGTTTCTTATCCAACTCCTCTTACGATCCAACGAGCTACTCCTTGAGAAAATCGATCGAGTTGTAAATCCTAATCAAGATTTCCAAGCTTCCATTTCGTTTCGATAAATTAATTTCTCAAGTCTTCAGGGAAATTTTCAAAAGAAAACACGCGTCACTCGTGTTAATCATCATCCACGATACCTTAATTCGATCGAGGCGTATCAAGTCGGGCATCCGGAAGCGGCAATCAAACCCAGCGTTTCCGTTTCAAATTCCATCGATACGAATTCATCGCGTGGAATATAAATGAGGCGGAAGGGTGATGGAATTCCTGGCCGTTGCCGAGAAAACGTTGCCCTCGAAACGTTTCATGTCGCGTCTAAACTATTTATTAGAAGTTGGAAGTTGTGCGCTGACAGTTCTATTCCCCTTTGCTACTTTCTTTCTTTCTTTCTTTCTTTCTTTCTTTCGAGCCCAATCCTTCCTCTGAAACGGTTCGAACTCGGCTCCCCGTGTTTCGTGTTGCATATAACGAATAATTCATGCCGGTGCAGAACCACGCTGCGAATCTTCGATGAATTTCTTAGCCAACGACTCGGTGGTCGCCGTTCTTTCTCCGAACGCGAGCTGGAAATTGGAATTCCACGTTGTTCTACGCGTCGAAAACGCGTCAGAGGGCAGGCACAAAATTTCACGAGGGGAATGAAGTTGAATAATTTAAAATTGGGGAGATAGATTTTTAATTGGAAAGACTCGTACGGCTCGTTGGGTAATCGGGATCAAACTCGTATAAAAGTAGATATAGAATTATTTGTGAAAACATTGGGTTTATTTTACGTTTTTCCACTTGAATTTCTGCTCGACTACCCAACTTCAAAATAAAAACTTTCCAGTATCCTCGAGGATCTTGAAGGAAGTTGTCTCTTCGTGGCTTCTTTCGAAGTTTCTTTCTCGTTCTTCAGGTTAGCTTCGAAGTCGCCGCGTTAATTTCTCGTCGTTTCTCGATCGTTATCAATAACATCCCCTATCCCAAACCCGTGTCCAATAATGGAAAAGCGTTGGAACCGAGATCTTCCAATGGACTCGAGAATTCATTTCTCTTTTATTTTAACATTCGTTTTAAGGGAAGAAAGAGAAGCACGAAGAATCGATATTTTCTAGATCTTCCTTCAAAATCGATCTTAAGAATCGTCCAGATAATCAAATTTTTCAGTTTGACGCGAGATTTGTCGATCCAAAGTGAGCGATTTTATGCTTAATAATTGGAAAGATAGATAAATTAGAAAACAAATTTTCGTTATTACCCATTTGAGCATCTCAATCTATCATTACGAATATTTCTGTTTTAACATCTTTGTGCCAAAAGCCTCCCAGTTTCAAAATTGACAAAGTTATTTCTCTATGTTACTCCCGCACAACAAATAAATATCATCTTTTAAAAGAAGAAACTTTGGGAATTAAAATGGATGAAAAGAAATTCTTCCGGGTGAAATAATACATGGCGAGAAAGTGGAAGGAACGAGAGTGGAGAAGGCGTTGAAAAGGAAAATCTGGTATAATTGATCGGCTGCACTTAGCGGCTTTCAGCTTCGAAACATCCTCCCGTGTCTTAAACATCTCCGGCAGCCTAAAACGGGGGTTTAGGCTTTCTACCCGCGAGAAATATTTCACGCCTTCGCCCCTATATAGACGTGTCTAATCTCTCGACACTGGAGCCAGGCATCGGGAAAACGTCACGATTCATCGACCCTGCTTCTCGCCGGTCTTCTCCCCTCTCGCCACCGATGATGAAACTTTTCCACCCTCCCCCGTCCGGTTGACGGATGCGTGCCTTTACATATTTTTTCCTCCCTCTCTCGAATTCCATCCCCCTCGTTCGAAGCGATTCTCTGCGAACGCTCGAATGTCTATCGATTCTCGTTTGATCACCAAAGCGAAGTTACAACATTGTTAGAAATATCTTTTATAAATTCGCTGATTAAACTAACGAGAAGAGGAGGAGGTGAAAGGCGATAATCGATATTCCAAAATAGATTTCTAATAATTCGCATCAAGAGATCGATTTGTTATTCCTCGGCGCGATATTCTGAAAAAATTTGAGGAAAGGAAGAAGTGGAAGTAATTTCGCGATAGGGGTGGATCGAAATCGTTCCCCTCATCCCCCTGTGGAGGCACCATCCGTTGACCTTCTCCCGTGGATGGACAGATTTATCCACCGTCCCAACAAATCCAGCTGTTGGTGGATTTGAACAACCATCGCGGGAATAAATCCCGCGTCCGGAACGATAAAACCGTTCCACGGTGGAATATCCATTCCGTTCCATCCCCCTCGACCACTTCCAACCGTGGACCACTCGAGCATTTCTCGCATTTCGATCCACCTCCGCTCTCGATCGCGTAATCCGTTTTGACAACGGCCAGAAGCGAAGAAATATGGGGCGCGCGTGTTCCATGCTTTTTCCCGGAACGACACTGTCGCTCGAATTTGATAACGAGATGACGAGGAAACGTTCCGCGAAACGATGGAGTGGCGATGGAGCGTTTCGAAGCGTTTCGAGAGGCTTGGAATGGGGATATTAAAACACGGTTAATTAATAAATAAAATATTTTTATATAAATATATGAATATATATAATATCTTCGTAAATGATAAAATTCGACAACGTGTTGTAAGAATGAAGAGGGAGGAGGAAATATCCTATTAGGAGGAAATATTCTAGGAAAAAAGTTTTGGTTATAATTAGGGAACGTTGGTTGATAAACCCGTGGAGAGGCGTGGAAATTTTATCGAAAAACAAAACACGTACGCTCATAAACACCGACGATAAGTGTATTACCCTTCTATTTCTGCCGCGGCGCAAATACTCGGGGAGTAGACCGAAGCTATCGATCCGTTCTATATATATATATATGTATATATAAATATATATACACGTAACGAGCAAACAAGGTTCGACATTCGACGAAATACGGCCGTTCACAAAATTGCAGGAATGGGAGCCGAGGCTTTAAGGATTCGCCTGTTAGGCGTGCAATAAAAATTCCGCTCGGCTCAACTTCAACCCCTCCCACGATGGTAACCGTGGAATTATCAGAGACGTTGCGAGAGGAATACGATTTTTTCGAGGCATAAACTTATAACGCGACTCTTGCACGGCGTCGATTCGCTCGAAGGAAAAGTAGGGAAGGATTCGATCTAACTTCGAGCGAACTTCGTTTCTCTTCGTTTCCTTCAAGGATTTCGAATCGCGAGGCTCAACAAGTCGTCGTCGAAGTCGACCGTCTGGATGGATATAACCGTCGAACAATCTCGCGTTTTCTCTTCCTCCCCCGCAATTAGGAGTCGATCGATGGATCGAATAGACACGTAGTTTGCGCGACTATTCAACCCTTGCCGTGTAAATACTCGGCGAGGAGGGATCGATATCGCTCAGACGGATGATTAACAGCCAGATATAATACGGAATGTATTCCTCCTCCACCTTCCTTATATACGGTTATCAATCCTATCTAACTATCGTTTCGAAGATATTGAGATATTGCTATTAATTATGACTTTCGAAGAGTTGAAACGAAGAACACGCGGAATTATATTCGTCAATTCGAGAGATAAACCATTTTGAAGTCTCGTGAGAGGAGAAATATGTGTGAGAGATGTTGCGTCAGTCTCTAAGAAGGAGTTTTGAAAGGAGAGTGCGGCGATCTTCTCGGCGGAGCTGTCGAAAGATCCGAGAAAAGTGCAGAGGGGGTGGAGGAGGGATCGAGGAGAGGTCTAGCCAGGGGGTAGAAGTTCGATGGAAGAGAGATTTGGCTCCGTTCGCCAGGGGAGTTTATCCCCATTCCCGGATACGCCGGAGTGAAATCCACCACCTTAGCCCGCGCCCATTAGGGGTATCCAATTTCTTTCGTTCCCTATCATCGACTTTTCTTCTCCGGCTGATCCTTTCTCCTCCTCTCTCTCTCTCCAAACAATCGGATCTCGAAACGGGGGGAAAATATAAAATCGGATGAAAATATCGGGTGGATTTTCATTCTCGATCCGAAAGTTCGTAAACGGGTTCCGTCCCTCGGAGTGGTCGCTTTATTTTTGGCCGAGGCGTACCTCGTTTCCCAGTTAGGGAACGCATTCTAAGGCGAGATGCACCCTTATTATTCATCACACTCCTTCTCCTCTCTTCTCGTCCCCGTTCCACTCTTAGTCACGTACACCAGAGGAAACCTGTATATGTGTATATACAAGTTACTCTCTTTCTTTCCCGTTATCCGAAGCATCTCAATTAGTTGGAGATATCAGTTTGAACGATGGATTATTTGGAACGTTCGAACGGGGGGATTATTTAATTGGCGCGTTTCCGGACGAATTAGGGAGAAAGTGGGGGAGACACGTACGTAGCGTAATCGTTTTGTTGGTTTTGTTGCGCAGGTCGACTTGCGACACCTTGCCCAGACCGAAGACTCGAACCAAATCGAGGTCGGGATCGACCTGACCGACTACTACATTTCCGTCGAGTGGGACATCATAAAAGTGCCTGCCGTGAGGAACGAGGCGTTCTACATATGCTGCGAGGAGCCCTACCCCGATATCGTGTTCAATATCACCCTACGCCGCAAGACCCTCTTCTACACGGTGAACCTGATCATACCGTGCGTGGGCATATCTTTTCTCTCGGTGCTGGTGTTCTACCTGCCGAGCGACAGCGGGGAGAAGGTCTCGCTCTCGATCTCGATCCTGCTGTCGTTGACG